CACACCGGTAAGCCTGGTGCGTTGCTGCTTGGGTTACATCTGCATAAACGCTCAAAAGCATATAAAAAATGAGATGCTTTCCCGGTTGATCCTGTTTTCCAGGTATTTCGCATTGCGTTGCCTCATATTACGCTTCTCCTTGCCGCAACTGGATACGTTATTGTGGGGTGCTGGGCTCTTACTACATTCCGTTATATTGATGATCGAAAAGAGGAAGGCAGCGATACTGTTGGCGAGTGAGCATTCTTCGCTTTTCCGGTTCACTAATTAAAACCTTGTAGCGGCCCAGACTAAGAGGCTGGTGCGGATGTGCGCTTCTGTGGTAGCTAACATACTAAAGCTGAATTCAGACTTTCAGGACTGTACATCTGCAGGAAACATCTTCTTAAAATCTCAACTTTCTATCTTTTCTGACTGCTGAGTTGGAAAGTTTCTCAAAAAATTCCACATGCCCATTCGTGAATCCTTGGCGTACGTGAAAACTAAATTTAAAATTCCACAGTCAAACTTAGATAAGCAGCATCTTCGTAAATTTTCAGTTTTTCATGTTATCTGATTTTCCAGTCGGACAATTATTAACAAATTCCCACTAGATCTTTTACGTGTCCGTGTGTGCGAGATTCTTATAGAATGTATTTCAAATCTCCGGATTACACATGGTCGGAGAACATCCTCAAAAAATTTCAACTTTCTGTCTTCTTTGGTCCTCAAGCTGTAAAATTCCTCGCTAAAACTTTCAGTTGTCCGTACGCTAAACTAAGAAATGAATCTGAACTTCCTCGATCGCACATGCTTCCGAAAATTTCAACTTCCTGGCTGTTTTTGTTCCCAATCTAGCAGTTTTCCTGCCTAAAATTTTTATGTGCTCGTACATGAAAGTTGGGATCAAAGTTCCCGGTGTCGCATTTGGCCAGGAAAAAAATTGACAGAATTTCAGCATGTAAGGTTTATTTGGTTGCCAAATTTAATATCCAGACAAACACAAACATACACACGCACCATGGGTCGTCGCAGTGTGCGTTTTTGGATTGCAAAAACGTACACTGAAATATTTGATCATAGATTCGCTACAAATGGCCTGCCTGTGGTCGAAGGCAGAGTGCAAACATGTTATTTCGTGGTAGGTGCAAGAAATGTATTCAACAAGCAAAAATTTTAGGATGAAGAAAAAATTGCTCGTTGATTTAATTCGATCACGGCCAATGGCAGCGCAAAAAATTGATTTGGAAGAATCACTGGACACTTTTACCTCCAAACTTCATAAAACTTACCAGAAATATGCCCATCAATCGTTCATGAAAAGGCCAAAAGTGATGAGTTACTTCACTTCTTAAATTTTAAAACTACAGGATCTTGGGTTTGTAATTCAAGCTTCAAATTCAAATTTCAGTTTTTATGAACTTAAATGAATCTATTTTAATGCACTGTTAGCAATCGTTGCTTACAGGTAAAAATATTGCGCGAAAATGATGACCCGACTTCGAAAATGATGTGGAACTTATTTTTTGCTGCTACTGCCCTAACATCAATAGGCGAGTTGCTCTAATCCATGAACGCATGACTTTTAACTCAGTAGAGAGTTTTTATTTGCTATGTTTTTGAAAGTAGCGAGAACGTAGTTCAGATTGCACCTATTTATTACATATATCACGCTCTAATTAAATTCGCAGCAGTGCTGCTGTGGAAACAGAATTCCAGTTACCTTTTTTAGAATTATTTGCTCAGGCTTTGGATCGCAACAAGTTTCATCATAAACACACATGTTTGCGGATATCATCACCGCTCAAATTCTGTCAGCCCTGCGGTGCAAAATATCGCACAGACATCTTGCTACCATCTGTCCCGAGCTACCTATCCGTACTCAGCTGCTTTTACTAATCGCCTCTTCGAAAGCTATTCAGATGTTTTTTCGAAATATCACTAAGACACTGGTCATCAGAAAAGTAAGCAAGGTAGAGCTACAGACCTAAAAAATACCTTTTAAGGGTATGGCAACAATGCGCCGGACTCACTTCTTGCCCGAATGTTTGTAATCGTCTATATATTTTTCGGTATTCCGCTTTTTCTTATTACATTGGCTGATTTGGTAAGTGATCAGTTTTGCATTGCCCCGAGAATCGTAGTCAGTGTTTGTAAAATTCTGGAAGCTCAGATCGTAGAGCCTGGGAAAGCTGTGCCTGTTATTTGGGACCATCCCAGCAACACCACTAACATGGTATACTCACGCTAACTGCCTAAACGGTCTTAATACTTTTAAGATAAAAACCTAGTTTGTGATTTATTTATAAGTTGTTCCGATGCCTTAAATGTGCACGTCTAAAGACATTTGTGTATACTTGTGCTTCTCTTATTCTACTCTTATCTTCCTCCTCTTCCTGCAATCCTCTTATTATCATTTTACAAAAATGCATGAGACTTAACAACTTAGTTTAACTGTATACAAAAACATAATGCTGAAAAACTGTTTGCAGGCCAAATTTTGCACAGAATTTATCAACCGAGTATATGCAGAGGTGCTGAAGTACAAATTTGTAACAAGCCGTAAATTTCATAATCGTGCCGAAGTGCCAATTCACGAAATTATTATTGCTGGAGGAGAAGACGAAGTAACTGTTCATTTCTGAAGTAACATCTTCCTAAAGACGAAACAGATGAAATAACGTCTTCTTCCACTGTCTGACCAAACACCACGCGGTAGTACAGTGAGTTGCCGAGGCAGGCTGAGATACCTATTGCATTTATAAAAGCGTTGCATTAGCGTAGCCGAAACGATAGAACTGAAAAGTTCAGGCATTATTTTTTCTAAATTATTTGGAAAATCAGCATTCTTAGTTAAATTTACATGCCACTGTTCTCTTTTAAATTTCTGCAGAAAATACTCCCTTTCCTACTTGGGCATTCCAGATGCTCCCTATCATCGCAAAAAAATTGCGTTAAGCCATTGCTTTATCGGATTTAATTGCTAAGCTCCGGAGTTTTTTATCAGCAAATGGTTGTTTTCACTTAATAAGGACCAGAGTGACGTTCGAAAAACTGCGGGGTGCTGGGCAAGTTTAGCTTGTGAACTTGTCTACTGAATTCAGACTGACACTCAACTATCAAGTTTCGTCACTTGTTTTTGATTACTAATTAGTGCTTTCGATTCGATTCATTTCGCTCCAGTAGGATCCATTCTGCTCTGATAAAATATTCCGTTGAAAAATGTGAGTGAAGTTCTTTTAGGTTGCAGAATTTTTGTGGACACATTTGGAAAATACGCATTTTGTTGAAGTACCTTTTGTCATCGTCTATGTATTATTATTTGTATATGTAATCGCTGCAAGCTACCTCATTTCACGGATCGAAGGATGGACCATCTATGATGGCTTTTACTTTGTCATGATCTCCGTACTCACGATCGGATTTGGAGGTTCATTTAAATTTTTTCATTTTCAAAGGAGTGTGCAAATAGCTCAACTCATAAATACTTTAGTCAGCTGCTGACTTTTCATCGCATTTATCCACGTCACTGATTGCAGCTAGGGACTTCATTCTTTTCCAGTTTTAGTATCTCTCGTCCAAATAATTTCATATGCTCGCTGAAGTGGATCCTTCCATCACATCCGGGGTCCTGTACTTTTTATGCGTTTTTGCAGCTATGAAATGCAGAAAACCCATGCTGACGAGAGGTTGTCTGTGTGTGTGTGTCTGTGGTGTCTGTGTGTTCGTCTGTACCGATTTTTCATCTCGAGACCGGCAAAAGCTACGGGGCTGAAACT